AACTGGCTTCTCTCATGTTGAAATCATTTTGTTAACACGAGAATAAAACTTTTATTTATTTACTTACATAAGCACCGGTATAATGTTTTCGGTTGCCATGCTGGTTGGCGCAAGAAGCCAGAAGGCAGTGAGCAGTGAAAATCACAGCCAGCGCAGTAATAGAAGCCATAACATATGCATTACAAATGTAAGTTCCTGGGTTGCCCACTCACCTTCCGAATTAAACTGAATTTCCGGCCTTATGATGTTGTAGAACCTGTTAACACTGTACACAACCACGACTTGTTGTCAGAGCTGCTGATATCTGTGGAACCACGTGTTCGAAGACTCAGTGGTGACGAGCAAATGAGGATTCTACCGCTTATCGAACGTAATGCACCACCAAGTCAAATTATTGATATGATTGACATCCAGTCCGGTGAGCTGATGACGTACGATGAATATGGAGATTTCTGGGAACTTGCATACCCTATTAACAATGTGCTATGCTTATTTCTTATATGTTTAGGAATTCGTGACATAGATTCATTGATTTCAGAAATCCGAGAGACAGGGTTGATGTGGTACTTACTGGATAGAGATAGAAAAGTCAAGATGTTTAGTTTTGCAACTCGGGAAATGATAACAAAATACCAGGAGTTTCCGGAAGTTGTCGGTATGGATCTACATACAACACCTCTAAAGAAGAGTATTTAGCCAAGGCTAATAATTCCGTTTTTTAACCGCCGGCTATATCAAATGGTTATCACGGATGGCCTCTACCGCAGCGCCCCTGTGGTGTATAGCCTAACTCACCGAGAATGCCTGATGGACGTGGAGAATGTGCTACGGTCTTTTAAGACCATCATGGTCGAAACATCACAAACCGTGACGTTTGTTGTCGACAACAGTGCAGCGGAGCAGGGAGCTATTAGCAGTCAGTTCCCGTACTGTTCCATTGTCTTATGTGCCTTTCATGTTATACGCTCGTTTAATGATAAGGTGATTTGTATACCGAAAAATGAGAACCTTGCAGTTTCGTAATCGGGAATGTAAACTTATGTTCCGGGAAATGGTGTACACTCGTGACCCTGACAGGTGTCGCCACTGATATATAATAATTCCTTAGATTTAATGAATTAAGTCTATCTATGAGAACAGAACACCCGGCATCATTCGCTTACATGGAGGCAAATCTGTGTGCCAGTCGGTATATGTGGGTTTCATGTCCCATGCAGGATATTGTTACCCTAGGTAACAAAACGAACAACAAAGTTGAGTGCCGCCATATGCACTTGAAGAAACATTTACGTAAATGTTTTCCTCTGGAGTCAAGCATTCGCGAAATTTGGAAATGTCCCATGGAACTATATCGCAGGAAGGCCAATGAGGGAAGTCGCAGTTTCCACTACTACATGCATCTTGATGTAAGTCCTTTGTTCTTATCTCTGTAATTACAGACAGACTACATAACCTCTGATATGCTGCGTTCTCTGACGAACTACGCAGTATATTATGTGTACGAAAGTATCCTGGCTCACAGAGATATGCACGTAGTTGAGTCTATAGAGGCGTACGTAGTCTTTCAAGAAGGGCAGAAGTACTACGTGGTTGACAAATATGACTGCAAATGCTCCTGCTACATCAGCACTGTGATGCTTATGCCCTGCCATCATACAATTCATATGTACAGATTTCTGTCTCATGATTTCGGTAAGTCTTCTGAGACGTTAATTAACCTCTTTGCACATGTATTTCCCCACTCTACAAGATGGTTACGAAGCTACAACCACATGAATATTGAATGTAACCAGGTTACTGTGGACATTAGAGAACTGCGAATGCTCACTTCTACAATGATGTATGAAATGCAGTTACTGTCCCAGTCAAACCCAGGAAGAGCACTCAGACTGCTGAATACCTACTAACTACTTATGCATATACTGTTCCACTCCCAAAATAGATTTTTCACATATTCCTTTGTTGTATATTGAAGCCGAAAGTAGAATGGGTTATCTAGAAATTTATTTTCATAAAAGCAACATTCTTTACAAATGCATGCGAGAAAAAATACATGTATATACACATATAAATATACATAGAACTAAAGTTAGGTCCAAACGTCTATTGCTATGCATACTGCTCCTCAAAAACAGGCTTCACATTAATTTTGAGGACTAATAAGCAGACAGCTGCCTACTCTAGTACTAATAATAAATCATTTCTTTTATAAATCCTTTTATTAATAATTGAACAGGTAGTCGTGGGTGTTGATACAACGCAAGGATATGCCACTTCCCAGAAATCTCTATATTCATCGTACGTCATCAGCTCACCGGACTGGATGTCAATCATATCAATAATTTGACTTGGTGGTGCATTACGTTCGATAAGCGGTAGAATCCTCATTTGCTCGTCACCACTGAGTCTTCGAACACGTGGTTCCACAGATATCAGCAGCTCTGACAACAAGTCGTGGTTGTGTACAGTGTTAACAGGTTCTACAACATCATAAGGCCGGAAATTCAGTTTAATTCGGAAGGTGAGTGGGCAACCCAGGAACTTACATTTGTAATGCATATGTTATGGCTTCTATTACTGCGCTGGCTGTGATTTTCACTGCTCACTGCCTTCTGGCTTCTTGCGCCAACCAGCATGGCAACCGAAAACATTATGCCGGTGCTTATATTTCGAGTCTACATTATTGTTCTCGTACTTGCTTAGGCGACAATCATAAATCCTTCACAGACTGTGAGTTTACTTTGGTACCCAATGATGATTCCATTAATTAAACAACTTACATTTTCAAACCTTTTAATGGACGCCTTACTCTCTGGCCATGTGTTCAATGGTTTGTTGCTCACAGGTGTCGTGAATTCAGCTACCGACTTTGTTGGTTCAAAGTTCTATCCGATGGATATTTTAATATTGCCTTACAAATGGCGATTGTTTCAAAGTCGTGCTCATTCAGCGTAAGAACTAAGCCTCCAAAATTAGAAAATGTCGCGTTTTGTTTTATGAGGGCTGCAACGCACTGACTAATCAGAAAACGACAATTAACGCTTTATCTTACTCGTACAAAGTGGGAAATTGGATTTTGGAGGTTACAATCGCGTCCGGTGACTGGCACTCCGTACTCCAGTTTAGTTTTGCGTTCGGAAACGTTTCCAAAGTTAGTATGAGTCTTCTGTGAATTTTTTCTCCCTTGTATTTCGAGTGTGTTCTTTTTTGATTAATATGGTGCAGAGTGCTTTTTCGTTGATGGTTGCTGTAACATTTCCCCTAACACCATTTTGGGGAAAACCAATGTAAATTTTCTGAAAGATTCTAGGGAAACGCAACCATTAGTCTCCATTTTCCCCAACCTTATGAAAACTCCCAGGCACATACTGCAACAATGATAATGCTTCGATTTATATATTGCATACAAAAAATTCTACGCAAAAGTTGTTTTGCATAATCCTTACGAGGACCGCATAACCGTCGATCCTCATCATTCCTTTAAACTTCTGCAAAGCACGCAGAAATTCGTATATTCCCTCGAAATGCAGAATTTTGTGTACTTCCCTAAATTTTCACCAGCCTTCCCCAAAATGGTATATTGGTGTCCATACACTAGGTAACTTGTTTTCGCAACATTTTTTTCACGTAAATCACTTCAGAACTTGTCGCTGTGATGTTCTAAGCATCTTAAGATACAGACTCAATCCATCTAAGAGGTCTATGACTCGCTGTTAAGGTGAGACACTATCATAACCAGGACTTCCCATTCTGTAACCAGTTTTTCAACAAGCTTTCCGAAGTAAGTGATTGCAGTGTTGCCAACTACTTACTTAAAGCAGTCCTGTATCCAACTGAAAGCTAAACGTTCACTTGTGATTGTCGTAGCAGGTGATTTCAATGAAGAAGTCTGTATGCCAATTCAGGCAGAAAGATGATAAGGTGAGACTTTACTGTGACAAGATTACTGAGCAGTCATATAAAGGTAGTAGAAGCTCTCCACTAGAACTCAGGCAAATGTGTCAGAGCATATAGATAGTTGTCATCTGAATTGGCAGCAACCAGTGGTGTGCGTCAAATAATGCTGAATGTCATCACTTTTGTTTAATTTCACTACAGATGTTTCAACAGACATACCTTTCGGTACTTCCGAGTTCACAGGGATCGGTCAACTCCCTGGAGGCCATCTGGTTGACTTTGAGTGTGCAAACGATATTGTCCTGCTAGGTGAAGACGCTACAGAAGTTCAGTCTTCTGAACGAGTTGAGCAGAAATCTGGGTATCCCCGACATGCGTTTCACACGTGTCAAATGTAAGATGGTGCTCCAGGACTGGTTTGTAACTGCTCTCAGTTTAGTGGTAGGGAGTGAAGTGATGGAATGGCCTGACTCCACCTACATGGAAAGTTGGATTGTTATGAACGAGCTGGTTGCTGATGAGATTTCAACTCAATACAGGAGCATTTGGCACTAACCAAATCGCATCATCTGTGTCACCGACTGGCGAGATATCTAACTGTTAAAGGATGAGTATACTGCACTGCAACTCATTCTGTCCTGTCATACGGCTGACATAGCTGTTAAAAGTAAGATAGGTGAAGTGACTACAGGCTTTTGACCCTACATGTCTTCGAAGCACTGCTCTGTCAGTGATAAACTGAAACTAGGTTTCTATTGTTAGATTTTTATAGTGTATGCTTTAATTGTTTCCTATAGTCTTTTACCAAGAACAGCGTATGTATTTATTCTGTTCATTTTCGCTAATCTTGTTTCTAAGTTCCACGGTGTTGTGCACTTAAATGTTTATAAGTGATACAAAACAATAAACGAACTTCATCCATCCCTTCTGGTATATGTAACTGTGAATTTCATTGCTTTATCTATATTTTCAAAGAATTGGATGCAAACAAAATGATCAGATACCTCAAATAATTTTGATTGTAATAGATCATATTTCATCTACCATGAAATTTACTCGTGTTGATTTTTGTTTTTCTTCAGCCAATCACATCTTAACAAGGTATGGCCACTTTTGATGTGTAAGTTAGGGTCCCACTGTGTTCATATCCATTGCTTAAGGTCTCAAGATTTATTTAGGAAGTTGGTTAGCATGCTTACTGATTGGCTAAAAGCATTAGATGGTGAGTATATTCATGCACCTATAAATATATACATTGCTGACAAATTTGTAAATGTGATGCAGAACTTACTCAAGAAGAGGAAGGAGTTTTCAAAGCTTCACAAGAGTTACATAATCTTAATGCTGACCACAAATGCACATCTTCAGTAGACGAAATAATGTATTCAGTACGTAGTACGTATGAATGTAATGTACGTGTTCTTATGCTTACGTTCTCACGTTTAATGTAGAAAAGTGCAAACCAACAGTTACTTCTTAAACCTTTGGAGAAGTAAGACCTCATGTCCAAAGTGTTATACTTTTCAGAATTTGTGCTGTACTACCTTCTATAAATGATATTTTTATTGAGCGAGAAGAAATTCTAAAAGAAATCACTCAGAAATCTCGAAAATTCGGAAATCAGAACCCATTGAACATGGAGCGGAAATTTCCACGAAGCTTAGAAAAGTAAAACCTAATTTTTATTTTCATGCTTTCAGATCTCACAGACAGTTGATTCGTTGAAAAATCGCCTACAGATCATTGAAGCCCTAATAAACGTGAATCTAGCAGAGTTTATCTCAATGTTAGAAGCATTTCTATCATCATCTTTTCATGTGAGGGTTTATTTCTTCATCATATCTTTTACTGGTACTGATTAAATTCCCCTACCAGAGATCCATACTGAACGGACAGATATGTAGCGTAATTAGTTTTTAATAAGTCGACAGTATGGGTATCTTAGTTAAATCTTTTTGTCCACTATTTCACTAAAAAGTGGTTTTTCTGATCAAAAGTGGAAAGTAGTCTACACTGTTGAGAAAGTTCTTTTCGTGTCTTCCAAATAACTCTGGTTTCTTATTGGTACTAATTACTCTGATTCGATTGAATAATGTAGAAATGTATACACAATGGTTAGATCACTACATACAAATTTCTTTGCTAAAAAATTCTATCTTGTACAATTCATATTTCTTCTTTACTTCGTAGTTCCTTAATTTTCGGATAGCTTTTCTCAAGTTTGGTTTTGTTTACAAAGCAAATGACTGTAGTTAACAGTAAATACTGCAGGTCTCAGCACTTCTTGATCCAATCTGTTTAGTTTTTTTTAAACTGACTCTCACGAATATTTCTTTGTTGCTATACTTTTTAACTTTACCTTATCATATTACCATCATTATATATCTCAGTAGTACGATTGATTTTCTAGGTATAATTTGATCTCATGCTCATGATGCATAATCTAAAGTCTCAGCTTTTGTGAGTAAAGAAAAACGAAACACATCCAGCCACCTTGTGCATCTTGTGCAGTAGAAAATGAGCTACGCATATTGTGTGAGGCTTGTAATACCACCTGGCTGCCCAAACATCGGTTGGTGGAGTGAGGTTTGAACCCGTGCATAGTTATTAGCACACGAATACCGTGAGAAATGTGCTGGTGAGTTTAAATTAGGAGTACGATAAACCTATATACCAGCTAACTAATGATAATCATTCCTATATAACCATGTTAACAAAGGGGAATTGCGAAGTCTAAACGACAGTTAATATCCGTGGCACAAAATATGGCTCCTGTGAATTGACAGCCAAGTAAATAACTAGTATTTCAAGCTGCATATACCATTCTTAATTCACCAGTATATAGATTTATCCAGCTAAAAGGTCTCAGGTTGAAGTAAATGTGCATCCTCTTCTGCAATGCTAGTCATCACGGAATAAATAACAGTTCTAACTTTTTGAATAGATAGCAGTCATGCTTGATCTTCATCATGCAAAGATTTTGTGGCCCTTTTGCTGAGTCAAACATACACTTTGTGTCTGTTTTTCTTTCATAGTAATTCAACTCCTAGTGATGATGAAATAGTAATTAGATTATGCCTTTAGAGAACAGTGTTGATTTCAAAACATTTACAATATAAATGTACGCATTTCTTGTTGGGCGATAAAAACAATAGATAGAAAGCCTTGGATATATGACTTATACTTGCCAACACTTTTTAACAAGATACATCTGCAGTTTTATAGAAATCCATTCTGTGTATGAGACTTGAATTCATTTCATTAAGTTACACAGACAGAATTGGTTGTCTATATGACGGTGAATCACTCTACCTTGTAACCAAAGGGGTTAACTGACTGTTTTAGACTTTCCTCTTGTGATCCCATACGCTAGTCATAATCTGTTAAATACTGATTAAGAAATGAGTAAGATTTCTACTTGGAAGAAGTTAGTAGGTTAAAGGAATAGTTCTGTTAGCTATATCTGCTTAGAATCCTGTAGTCTGATCGTAAGCCATATTAGACAAATTCTTCTTCACAAGCTGGACAAAATAAAATTAAAATAAGTTGTCCATAAATAATTTTGGTGTTTTATAATGTGATAGCTAATACTTTAGTAGTGTTAGGCTATCCAGCTCACTTGTCTAAGCGCCTGACTTTCAATGGGCTGTGATTTTGGAACGGTCCTCTCTGTTGTTTAGGATGCTACGCATAGTAATTCCATTTTACAGTGTGTTTAGGGAGATGACTTCCAGCCGACTGGTCACAGGCTTGAGCCCGGCCCCACCTACCGAGGTTTAGGCGGCTAGGTAGTACCCTTAGCCTTCACACAATAGGTGTGGCCCCGTCTACTGCATGAATGTCCACAAGGTTACTAAGTGTATTTCGATTCGATTTGGCAATGGGTTAGGTTTTCAGATCTCGGTACACAAACAGGTATTTATTCATTTAGATACACCTATTTTTGAGTATCCTGAAAACAAAACACTAAAGACTTTATTTTTCATATCTTCTTTCATGGATTTTCTCGCTAGTATTCACCTATTTTGTATATTATCGGCTAGGATCATCTACGTTGCACCTCAGAGTTTTTCCTCAGAGCATCAACAATCCACCATCAAATTTCTCAAGCTTTGAGCACTGGTCCGAGTCAACTTTCTCTTTTGGATAAAAAAATGGATGAAGATATTAACTCCATTTGCAAGCTTTTGCATTTGAAACCCGACAAATAAATTATTTTAATTTATAACATCAGACTGATTATTACTATTTTTGGCTGCTAATTTTTCATCAGTTATTTATCCTAAGTTGTCTGTTAAAATAAATCTTCTTTAAAGTCGTCCTTTTATTGAAAATAATTTTTTCGTCGTCCTAATCATAGTCTCAAGCATTGGAAAATATACCTAGCTCAATGTTTAAATCTCCTGAGAACCTCGTAATTAGATGATTATGAATGTAAGACCTTGATACTTTTGAGCATACTGGGATTTTAATTTCTCTAACTAGGAAAGCAGACAATACTTTTTCGATGATTTCGCATACACTATTACCGTCTCGTAATTAATTAGTAACAGAACTGCCGCTGTGTTCAGATAAATGTTTCGCTATCTTTGTGAATGCAAAGACTTAACGTTTTTAATCTTCCAACCGAGCACATAGGTTTCATCGTTGTTTATTTGTTGGACGCAGTAAAACCTAAACACATAGGTACCTACTCTAGCACATGATTGAGTTCGAAGCAGGTTTTCCAGAGACAGCGACAGACAAAATCAACGTCAAACGTTGCACAGAAGAGCACTGTTCCAAGCTGGCACACTTCACAGTAGCATGCGAGAGACAAGTCAGCAGTGACGCTCCCACGATAACTTATGGTGATATAGTCAAACTCCCGATCGACAGCTGCTAGTTTGACGTAGCAATCTGACTTGGCAATGATCCAACGAGCAATGCTTGTTTGTTCGATGTTCTACATCGCCGGAAAAGTGTGTTGGCTAGTGGTAAGACGAAAAGCAGTTACCGTCGTAGTGTAAATCGCTAAACTGTGAGAGAGTCTGAAGTCTTACTACTGGCTGGATGGTGTGTTCCCATTGAATGACCAGCAGTGCCGGAATGATGCTACCTTCAATGAGGAGGGAGGTTAGGGAACGTCCGACGCAAAAGTAGCTCAATGCTCCCTGCAATGCAGTCTTCGCTTGCCGGCGGCATAGGTTTTACTTATTGGGCTTTAGAACAGTTAACTTGTAAACCTTCAATCCTCGAAAGGTTGTGTGACCCAGTTTCAAGCATTTGCACAATAGGCTATGCGGTCACACAAATATTTTCTCTTTCCGGTACCCTGCAATCAAACACGGTGTATACCCATCAACTCTGTCTATCCCCCTGCCTTCACATCCTAATACCAATACTAAGCCTCTCATAATTCTCCGACCCCTCACTGTGCGGCAGTTCTCAACAATCTATTCCGTTGGAACCTCTTCCTTAGTCTCATATTAACCCCCTATTGGTTTCATACTGGAGCTTTCAGCGTCCGAAATCTATGCCAAGCTAATCAGCACACATCGCTTGCCACAATTTTGGAATCTCCAGCCATGGCTGTGTCTCTGAGACGTGTACACAGGGCCTAAATGCGGCTATTAAATTGACCTCATCTGACGACTGCGGTGAATTTTCAAAATTCACATTAGGAATACTCCGAGACCCAGTAGTATGTTAGGCGTAGCATTGAGTCGTAGGGCAGCAAGCGCACTTATCGACTGGATACTAGTCAACAGCCGTCTATGTGTTTTTCAACTAAAAAGGATCTGTAAGAACTAGGAAGGATCGTGAGACTAAGCGACACCTCATTCTAATTTCCAACTTCGCACTGACCGGCTGTAGTTCAGATGATGCAAAGGATGAATTCTATGAGCTATCGACTTCACTACAGAAAGCAAAACACAGCTTTCATAGTGGGACATAACTGTAACGCTCAGGTAGGGCTGAGCCAGTCAGAAATGCATCTTGGAGATATCTACGGAATCCAATCCCAACGAACCAATAACGGTAATCGTCCGTTGCAATTTCGCCCTGACAATCACTTGTTTCTGGCCAGCCCTAACTTCAAGCATAAGGTGAGACATCGTCTCAATTGCTGTCGATCAGTGTCAAACTCCTGACTGCCACAGACTGATCACGTGCGTTATTGTTGGAGTGCATTGGTGCCCCTTCGGGATTACCTGTTTGAACTTCGCTCACATGCTAGTGCGGGTTCGTGTGTCTGGAACTAACCGGTCACAAAACCCGGCGGCAGCGAAGCCTATCACAAATCGATGGGAAAATAAAAACGCCAATTACCCATTTAGGGATATGACTAACTGTGCGTGACAGTAATTTTCGTACTGAAGAAACCTGGTGTGATTTCAAGTCTGCCGTAGAAACAGCGATAGAGACAATTCTAGGGTTCATGGTTGTTCAACAAGCAAGAACAGCAAGCTTGGAGAACATAGGCAGGTTTCAGATATGGACGGTGCATCAGTAATCCTTACACACTAAAAAATGCCCCGGGACATAAGCATGGACAACGATCAGGACTGATGTCTGACAATCTACTTGACCTAAATGCGGCTTTCAGTTGTTGTAGCGAGAACTGAATACTTAGGAAACGCCGAGATAGTAAGTGAAGGCTTAGAATGCCCTCCACTAGAACCCAGGCAATCATAAGGGGCTTATCGAGAGTTGTCACCCTGGAGATCACCTGGTTGACTTTTAGTATGCAAAGCATATTCTTTGGTATTAGGCAAATCGCGTCATCTGCGATACCGCCTGGTGAGATATCCGATAACGAGTATACTGCACTACAGTTCGTTTCCTCCTGTGATACACCTGCAAGTCATTGACGCGAAAAGTAGATGCGAAGCAGCAACGTAGCGTACTCAGTCGCGGTAGAACAACTATGCCAGTAATATTGAGGCCAGGTGAAAAGACACCGTAAAACTATATAGCAGGTAAGGATATGTCGACTCATCTATTCTCAGATTGCTGTACGCACATTACGTCTAAAGCTCATGCTGCTTCTGTACTCGTGTGAATTGGTTGGAAGGACTATTGCAGAAGCATGGAGCTCTGGACGACAGGCGGCACATATAGTGGTTAGGGCCTTTTGAAACCAAGACAGGTAAGGATGGACTTTAGTACATATTCACCGTCGCATAATCTGAGTTATCAGCATCAACATTTTCTATCGCCCCAATCGTTTGCGATAACCTAACCGCGCTAAATGACTGACGAACAGGATCTTTAACGTCCTCAGGTAACGCAACCTACTCAACTTGCTGAATACTATTCAAGCATTTCTGAAGAAGGCAAATTAATTTCCCCTAGGTCACAGATAATCCTCTCACATCGTGGGTTACGTCCGGTGAGGGTTTTAATCAGTGCCTGAACTGTCGGTTTAAGCTGTTCGGACTACCAGGAAGGTCTTGTGGCTTATTCACCCGGCCACACTTTCCAAACGATCACGACTGGAAAAAAGGAATGCAGCAAGCTGAGGATACCAACCAAATCTAGACACACACACACACACCGGGATCTAAGACCCATGCAATCAGTTGGCTATTTAGGGACCTTAGCTACTTTACAATAACCTTTACGGTGTTCGTCAATTACCCAGACTGACCTCAACAAAACCTCAGACACGGTCGCTAAGCTGAGAACTCCTTTCTATATCTTGGTGAAGTACCGTCAGAATGAGCGCTTATGTACTCTTATCACAATGGTCCATAGGGACATCCACCCCGTCTTTTCAACACACCTCTTGACTGGCAGGTGACCTGAGTGCACAACAGGAGGTAAAAATCTGCGAGACTTTCTTAAACCTACCGAACCTTGATGCACATCCCAGCATCTAATACCCCCATCAACCGTTGAGCGTTTGCGGCTCTATTCTACATATCTATTTTTAACTGTTCGGTTATCAATCGCCTCTCTCATTTCTCTTATACATATAGTCCCGCTCAAATCCCAGCAGCGCAGGTTGAAACTTTTGTCTGGCGGAAATGGAACAAACATACTACAATCTGGCATCGGCTCAACCCACAGAGTAGTCTTCACGATAAGTATGAAGCAGCCGACATGGTAGAAGGGCCTACAACCAGAGGCACTGGCTCCGTCAATGTGACACCAACTCATTCTTTAAAACAAAGACACCCGATTGCAACGTTTATTTAGTATATTCTGTGCGGTTTACCCATTGTGCTTTTGATGTACAAACACCTAACGTTCTGCCAGTTTTTCTTTAAGAGAGATACAAGGAAGTTTATTGACAAATTTATGTTTTGGGCCAGCTCCTCAGCAGTCATTTTCACGTGGCCAACAGCAACATTTAGACAAAGAACTTTTTTCATTTGGAACTTGACTGTAGCCTTGACCTCATCAATCTTGTTCACCAACTGGTCATTGTGTGTAACCACAAGTGGGAACTTTCCGTACTTGCTTAGTGCTGGACCCACGACCCTCGTGAATTGACGGATGACAGACTCGCTAGCAAGAAAAGCGTTGTAGCTCTTAGCTGCGAACATTAGCAGATAAACTCAACATACCTAGCTTTTTCAAAGGTTTCTTCTCTTTCCCAAACTTTTTCAAGTCTTCAGCGTCCATACATGGGATATTATTAGCTTTGGCTTCGTCGCAATGCTGTTGGTCTCCTAGCACACATACGGTCATCTTAGGGCGAGGGATGTGCTTCAGTCTACAATCAAATCCGACTTACAATGTACGGCCAGTAGCCTCCCCACACAGTTTTAGAACCCTGGGTAGGGGTTCGTAAACTCACCGTACAGTCCCGGAAAACCTTTTGTCCTTCTGAGTATCATAATTCTTTAGGGCTATCTGCAACTCAACTGTTTCTGTAAACTTCCGCTTCTTAGTCTTGTTGCTGTAGTCAAGTAGATCAGTGCATGACCGTAACAGAAGATCCTTCGGTACTTTACTATAAGAAAAATGTGACCATAAGTTTGTGTGGTTTGCAATTATATCAGAACTTCTTAGAGGATAACAATCATGAATCATCAGAAGTTTTCATCACAGTACACATGAAACTCACCTCATTGTCACGCCACGGTTATCAAGTGGTGCTAGTTGACAGTTCACTAATCACTTAAACAACGCCACGTTTCAATGCCTTTCTTGTTCAATTTCCGCGTTTGGAAAATTAGGGTTGCCTATATTCTGCGTCTCAGTTAGTCGTAAAAAGAAACATTTAACATCATGAAGATTTCCCTCGACCGTTGTTTCTGTCTGCCAAATTCACGAGAATCTATATTATTTTATGAGGTGCCCTCAGTTGCTTCCACTGTTCTCGAGGTTGGATCTCAGCTCAACTTTGACAGCATTGAAAGGTGTATGCACTGTGAAATGATAAGAAGCTTCTTAGTGGGTAGACGCTCGGCTGGTAGTTATGAACAATCTCACGGAACAGCCAGTAGAATTTCAGTCCTAACTGATGGTGCTACAAGTGTTATTCGGCGTTAACCTTTGATGATAACTCTTTTGGAATCACAAGGCTATGGGTATCATGGGACCATGAATACATTTACCCTAGACACTTCATGTCAAACAGACTGGAGCTGTGAGACTTTGTAACTAACTATAATTAATACACCACTCAAGTTGCGGTTCTCATTTGCATGTTTTCCAAGACACAAAAGACTTCTGAGACGATTCTTCTTTGAATGCTGCCAGTATTGGAAATTATAACGATTCTAAACAACCTTAAAAGTGTACCACCTCAGAACCTTTACGGACATTATCGTTTGCAATAACCGTTTTGGCAGGTGAATGGTAGTGCTCAGAAACGTAACGACCATTGGTCATCATCCCCCCGCTCAGAGCAGAAGGTAATCCCCCCACTGTTCTTATTTGGTATCACGTCACGCTGAACTACTCGGGATACGACAAGCTGCCTTGACTTTCTCTCCTGAACTTTCTTAACTTGCTGTTAGAGGCGACTGACAACTTCGGGTATGTTCACTTCTTTTCACATCTTTGGTTAGCATACAAGTACTTAAGTTTGGCCCACGAATCATCGTAAGATCTTAAACTTTCAGATGGCTGAAATTCCAACGTGTCTCTACCTACGTCTTTTCCGGTCGCTGCTTATGACTGACGATGTGAGAAACCCTGTAGAGTTATTAGGAGAAATTTTTGTAAAAATTTTAAATAAACCCACTCTCAGCATCATTAATCTGCCAAAGCTCAGTCAACTTACATGCTGAGTCGTAACTGAAATTATCATTTTAGTCAAGCTCTTACTTGTTTCGGTTTTCGTTGGATGTTCGAGAAAAAGCAGTATCAGGGTTTCCGAGGTTTTGTAACTGAGGTTTATTCCTGCCTGACCAGCTGTCGGTAGTTCGGCTGAAGGTAGTCTACCGGAGGACTTTCGCAGCCTAACTCTCGTGTTTGCGGGCAAAGCCAATGGAGTACTGCTCTCCCCGCAGAGATTCACACCCACGTTACCCAATATTACAGGCAAATATGCCACTACTGCGTTATTCAAATCATGGATAATCTGCTGTACAAGTGGATAACGCATACTGTAGACTAACTAATTTCTGCGACGCAAAACCAATACCTGATTTGGTGATTTGACCGTTTGAAGAGGGAGGCGTCTTTTCAGGAATGTCATACATTTAGTTCAATGGGATTAAGTATATGACACAAATGATTTCACCACATTCACCCGGGACTCGGAAACGAAAAGTCTGTCACTCGCCACTGACAAATCAATGCGATCTGGAAGTCAGCTTTTTACAACTAATATGTTTCATTCACTTCCTTTCGGTAGACCAAATTAGGTGGGTGTAATACACATATCAAGCGATAACTGGCAATCCATCTTCGAACCCACTTCTCTGAAACGCATTTCTCGAAAATTCCAGGTTACATTCAGTATTTCTAGGATCATAAAAACGTCTCTTTTCGCTGACAGTCATAATATTCACAGTTGTTTTTGAGTAGATCCCAAAGTAAGTGGAATTGCGTGCAAGGTGAAAGCACCGTCGCAATTACATTAATCGTTTATAATTCGGTCGTTGCTAACCTGTATTTAGCCAGCAGTTTCGGCATTAAGTCCTGCTGCTTTTCTACTCTCCGTACAATTTATCATAAAATATTGATATTTCGAGCACCAGTTTTTGTTCAACACTTCAGTACTGAGCCATGAATAATGTTAATAATAACATATTTCGATTAATGAGTTATGCGAACACTTGCCACCTTTGCAGGTAGTGCCTGAAAACTTTTTCACAGTGAAGCTGGGAAAGTTTAGAAAGCGTAAACCATCGTGCCATACAAAGCCTTCTGCAGTAAGCAATCGTTTGGACATTGCCGGTCACGAATAATGGGTAAATGCCTTGGCAGTAAACAGCAGCAGTGAAAATTAATACGGCCATAGTCACTCGGTATGAAAGGTATCCTGGCGATAGTAAGCAATACAATCTCTAAGAGTGCGTTGCATATCGGATGTTAGGTACAAACGAAGCTGAATACTTGTGGGTATTCAATAAATGTTTGCTGTCTACAGATAGCATGCGGAACTAGGGTTAAACACTGGGATGAACTGGAGAGAAGTTTATGGCGTGCAGAGTGTGGCGATTGTTTAGGTCCACCATTTTGTCGGCGGAGTCATTTGAACAAATTGTCCCGAGGATGTGATCCTACCCAGCTACTGTTGTCATACTACGAGAGAGAATATACGAGGCTTCATCATCAAACCATTCAGTATAACCTCAAGGTAGACGCTTCACATGAGGTCACTTTGGGCTAGCTTCGTTTCCGGGTGAGTGGTTGCCAGGAGTCAAAAAACCTGCCTGTTTGGATGCAAACAGCATTTATTACCAATATTTCTAGATGCTATTCCAATTAGAGCCATGAATTTTGGGCAGGTTACAGTCTGGGATGAGTTGTTTCCTGGTTTTGCATCTCTAGGTGGTAATGACGATAGTTCGTACATGTGGAACGGGATTTCCGTGCGTTGGTATGATCCGCTATCATAATCTGCATATCGGATGAGAAGGAGAAACAGAGGCATGAGAGGTAGAGTTAGTTATCTTGGACTTTGAGGAAGTGATATTGAAAGCTAGAGTATCTAAAGAGGGCACGGGAATAAGACTTCATGCACGCACCACAAAATATGAAAACTCTGCAACGCTGTATTTAGCTCGTCTCCCGTGCGATGAAGAAAGTGTAGTGAACCTTGCTGGCACCAAAATACAACTAAGGCTAAAATGAATAGTTTAAATTGAATTAACTAAATAAATCTCTTGCCTGCCTCCGGATGTTTAGGGTGTTTTAATTTTTGTTTTAACGAGCATGCATCCGAGCAGGCTTGGACGCCATTTTTGCGCTCCATCATGCTGGTTACCACGCACGTACTCCGAGTCCCCAGTTCAGCCTTACAAGCCAGACAAGCCGGTTACACTTTTCCCCCATTCATTATTATTACATTTACTTTAATTAAATACATAGCTCCTTCAAATACACTGCATATCAGTTCTTCTGATTTGTGTTTTGTTGACAGTACTTACGCGTTGGGTAAAGTACTGGTTAAGCAGGTACTAGAGCACATCAAGTTAAGTAGGGTTGATCAAACGTTAAGGAATTGTAACACGCACCCCCGCAAAAGCACTGGAAATGAACCAACTGATCAACTTTTTTGAAAGCAAACGTACCGATTATGGGCATGTTACTATTGATGCATCATGAATGCAATGGCTGGTGTGACCGTCTGCTTAATTGGCTGCACATTTCCAAGAAAGTCGTAGACGGAGTGAATATTCTTACCTCTTTTGTATGTAATTTGTACTCGTTTCATTTTGCTGTGTATGCATACACGTTGTCCTTGTCCAACTTATGCTATGACATGCTGAAAATTGTGTGAAGTATTCTCGAAGTAGCTTTCAGAATAAGGCCAATATTATTCAAAAATTGGGTTGCATGGTTTAGTATCCTACTCATAGAATACCTTTGGCGCTTCATGTAGTACATTTCTAATGTCCGAGTTTAAGCTGTATTACAAAAGCATAAAGGTGCTGACTTTGTTTTGCATTTGAGAACTAGTAAGAGCTTTGACACATACACACAGGGTTGGGAAAAGATGGTTTCTGTGATCTCAGGGGAAGGAAGGATGGGTCCAATGACCTCACATTGTAGCGTCACGCACTTCCATAAAATCGATAGCTCAGGGTTTGACGAGATTCAACGTTGGTGCTGACCTTGATAGTCTGACTGGACTTGCTAAGCTGAAGGCACGCGGTCAAGCATCCTCGCCATTTGGCACGCTGTCGTGTTGCGTTGCACTGCTCGCAATCGACTCTCCAGCCAATTAGTTGGAACTCGTTGGTATCTTGGCACGGCCTCTCAAACATACCATTCCATCCGACTAGGCTATTGTGTTCTTTCTCGGTCTCGTATTCCTGGGTATGTGACAAGCTGGAATAGTTAGTGATTGGCCTTTGCGACTGCCAAGTCCGCACCAGGACAATCTCCAGAACGTAAAGGTGGTTTCCATAAGTCCTCATCATCAAATCTGCCATCCCAGGTTGTTAGGCACTTCTCTATTATCTTGGCCCGTCACTAATTTATGTGTGCCATGTGGCGTCTTCGCTTCTCCCCCTTGGCCCTTCTCCTCTCTGTCAGCCGTAGTGGTACGGATGACGTGGAAGGGGTTAGAGGTTGCTTTACCAGTTACCAGGTACCCGGCATCATTTGTAGTTATTGTTGTGCTGTCTTCGCTCATCCAAAGGCTTCAACCACTCCTAAGAGCCTCACAGATAGGGTGGTTCATATTAGTGTCCACCACCGGATCGGTTATCCCATGTTGCCAAGCTATCTTTATGTTCTAAATTATCTTACGACCCGTTGCCAATACTGTTGTAACATGCTCTATCATACAACCCCTTCTTTTAAAGAGACCTCTTTTTCTTTTGCTGATCGTAATGTCCCTTGCGGAAGGCCTATGACCACTGCACGTTGCCCTCAGCATTATAGAGCGGAGGCATGTGGGTGCTTGTTCAACAAAATATGCCTAGAGTGAGATCATGGTCAGAGGA